CCCCAAAACCCCAAAACCCCAAAACCCCAAAACCCCAAAACCCCAAAACCCCAATAAGACTTACAAATGAATAACTATACGTTAATAAAATTAAATTTTTGTACAATTATAATCATCGTTAGAATGGCAGACCCAAAAACTTTATGAGACAAGGAGGATTATTGTAATTATGATGATACTCCAGAATTTGAGAGGTCCAAGCTGTATCTCTGTCAGGTATTTCCCTTCGAAATTTGCCAAATCAGCATACTTTAGTTAAAATTTTCTTTGAAATTACCACTTTCTTCGTGAAATTATTCAAAAATATTAAACTTGATTGTTGGAGTAGGAAGGGGAAGAGAAATAAATCGCCACAAATGCCACCGATATTTACGCCTAAATAAAAGAGTGGAGAAGTCAACTGAGCGTTACTCAACCAGCAAGTTTAGTTTCTCCTCAAATGCCAAGCTCAAAGGCTTTACTCAGGAAGCTCTTTGCCAGAGTATTGAACTGCTCCAACTGGAGATAAAAGATGTAAAGGAGCGAGAGAAAGCTCAGGAAGATATGTATAAATAAGATCATCGACGCTTTGAAGTCAGAAATTGAAAACAGCGATATCGCCAAGCACATCGAGATAATTAACTATATGCATAAGACTGAGGTGACCCATCTCAACAAGCGGTTTGACACCCAGATTGGCATGAAAGACAAGCACATCAAGGAACTTGAGGATAAAATATAGATAGTTTGAAAGACAAGAACAAATCTCTCGAGACCACCCTACTCTCTAAGACCAAGGAATTTGAAATATGCACTAAGGAAGGGGAGGCCAAGATGAAGGAGATGGAGATCAGGCTCAAGTCACATGATGACCAGCGTCAGGAATTTATAGACAAGATCAACCCAGAAATCAAGCAGCGTGAGAGCCATCTTATATACGAGTTTGAAAATGAACGCAAGCGCATTAAAAGTAACTATGAGGATAGTATTAAGTCCTTAAGGACCATGTTGGAGAGCGAAAGGCATAAATATTCCAATAAGCTAGAGAAATCGAATGAAACTATTCAAAAGCTTACAAAGAAGCTTGCAGAGTACAGAAGTTATAAGGAGAAGGAAAGTAAAGAGCTCAATAAAAAGCTCAAACAGTCTTGTAGTAAATGAAAGAACTATGAGGGTCTTTTAGAGACCATGGAGGCAATTGAAATGGAAAAGGACGACGCATATAATAAGATAGCCATGCTAGAGGGAGAAATAATGCAACTTAAGGCTCTGAGGTCTATTAGTCTAAATAAATCTCCAGATAGGAAACATGCAAGTCATAAAAAGGTCGAAGAAACTCAAGGGATAAATTCATCTGATCTCTCTTGACCAAAAACACCGCCTTGTTCAAGCCCAATTCAAGATCCAAAGGTGTATCAAAAATACAGAGATTTTCAGAACAAGTTTACTAAAACCCAGAAGATGTCTGTTTATCCCTCTCAGAAGACAATCGGTAAGAAAGCTCATTTGAATTACTCTCATCACTAATTAGGTCAAGGATCAATTGAATTCACCAATAGCTTATCACTTTCAAAGAAGTTTGACTCTAAACCTCAGGCTGAAGGTGTAAAATCCCTCTCTAGGGAGAGAAACATAAGCAAGAGTAGGGTTCAGGATGCTAAATGAGTGCCTCTTTCGACTCTTTCTACTCTCTGCAAGCCGATAAATACCATTAGTTCCCAAGAAAGGGCCAGGAATACTGAAGAAAGTACATCTATCTGTCTTGACAAGCATCAGGATTTCAGTTCCAGAAATGAAAATGTAAGTTTATTACTATTCCCAATAGATGTATTCCGAGCCTAAGTCAGATCTTCTCAAAAAGAAGGTACTTCACTCACCTGATTTATATCTAGGAGTCCAAGCTGAACATCGACTCTGGAAGAAGAGGCTCAGAGCACGAAACACTTATTGCAAGTCCCTTCAGTAATCTCTGTAGGAAAGCCTGATTGAAAAGTATATCGGGCCGAAAATGAAAACGAAACCTGGCAATTTGAACATGCCGAAAATGATATCAACTCAAATGACTGCAAGGCTCAATAAATTAAACCCTGAGTCAAAGGAAAACAACTCGATCACGACTAGAGAGGATCTTGAGGATTTTAACAACAAGTTTGTGAATAAGTACCAGATCTCTGTCTGAGGAGCAAACTCCTTAGAAGACAGTAAAGATCCGAGTCTGATTAACTATGGAAGCATTAACCATCCTAGTGAGGAACACCGGAAGGTCTCTACTGTTAAGAATTTGAAGAAATCGTTAAATTTTAAATTTCCTAGTAGAAAACCTAATAAGAAAATCCTAAGAAATAGTGAGAGTATGATGTCTATTAAGGAAAACTACAATAATTCCTTATTTCAGAAGGTCAAAAATGAACGGAAATAAGGACAAAAGTAGGAAGATTGGGAGGAAATCAGCCTCTATAACAGATATCCCAGCTCCTGAGTCTGAGGACAACAAATCTCACACTCCTAGCCAGAGGACTTTGATAGAGAGTTATCTTTGAGGAAATATTAAGTCGTCAAATGAAAATTTTCATAGCAAGAAAACAAGTATTAAGAGCATGTTAGATTTGAACCAGTATTCTTCGAATAGGGTTTTGGAGAATGGCAGTCGGTTGTCTAACCAGATGCCTACCTTCTCAATTGAGGTTCCGAAGCCATCCAAAGAGTCCAGCAATTACCACAAATTTCTCATGTAATTTTTTGAACAAAGGTTCTTAATATAAATTCAATTTAATTTATTAATGTAGGGGTTTTGGGGTTTTGGGGTTTTGGGGTTTTGGGGTTTTGGGGTTTTGGGG